AAGCTTGGGCAGGGATTCTCAGAAGGGGAAGAAAGGGGATGAGGCCTTATAAAAATTCTCTGCGGTCCTAGAAGGTTTGGAGAGGCACATTCAAAATTGCCATTACTTTCATTTCATCTTGACCCCAAGTTGATCTTCTTGAAATTTCTATCCATGTAACAGAGCATATGAAATTTTTATGTTTCTCAAATGGGGGGATGTCTTAAAGATAGTGGAAATACCCTGGGCTAGTGAAAGCTTTATGGACCATTTCCTCCTTTAGCGACATTGGAGAATCAGCTTCACTGTCTGCACGTGATGCCGCAGTTAGGAATGTTTATTTCTACCTTTTGATTCAGTGATTTTGAGACCTCAATGAAACTTTAGGTCCCTAGAAATCATTTTGTACAAAGCTTTCCTTTTATAACTTCAGGATTCGAGATGGTAAAAGGTGAGAGGGACTTGCTTAAGTGAACATGGGGCAAAGCCAGAATTTAGAGGCAAGCTTTCTGATTCCTCATCTCAGACCCGCAAAACTACTGTCTCGCCTCACTCTTCTTGGTTTGTGGCAGATGCAGCCTGTTATATTGTCTGTAGTTTTTCTTCAGTACTTCAGTAAAATCATGTGAATGCCATGAGGGCAGAGGCGTTTGTCTCTTGAGAGCATTACTATACCTCAGCTCTAGAAAAGTGCCTGACACAAAGTAGAGCCAAATAAATATTAAATGAGTAGGCCAGGCACAGTAGCTGTGCCTATAATCCTAGCACTTTGGGAGGCCGAGGCGGGAGGATCACTTGAGGCTAGGAGTTCAACACCAGCCTGGCCAACACAGAGAAACCCCATCCCTAATAAAAATACAAAAATTAGCTGGGTGTGGCGGCGGGCACCTGTAGTCCCAGCTGCTCAGGAGGCTGAGGCAGGAGAATTGCTTGAACCTGTGAGGCAGAAGTTGCACTGAGCTGAGATCGTGCCACTGCACTTCAGCCTGGGCAACAGAGTGAGACTCTGTCTCAAATAAATAAATTAAATAAGAATAAATATTAAAAGAGTAAATTGTATGTGTACATTTCCCATGTTCTTAGCATAGGCAGAGTCTTCAACAACCAAAATTCTGAGACCAAAAATAACAATAGCTTGACTTTCCATCACAACTTTGAGAAAATACACATGTACAGTACTTACTGTATATATTCATTTAATTCTACACCCTCGAGCAGTATTCTCAACGCTGGGTTGAAATTAGAATCAGCTGGAAAACTTTAAAAGCTATGAATTCCTTGGAACCTTTGTATTTCGTACACTGGAGGTGAAGACTGAGCATCAGCATTTTTTTTTTTTTTTTTTGATGGAGTCTCACTCTGTCTCCAGGCTGAAGTGCAGTGGCCGATCTCAGCTCACTGTAATCTCCACCTCCTGTGTTCAAGTGATTCTCCTGCCTCAGCCTCCCAAGTAGCTGGGACTACAGGTGCGTACCACCACACCCAGCTAATTTATTTATTTATTAAGTAGAGATGGGTTTTCACCATGTTGGCCAGGATGGTCTCAATTTCCTGACCTCGTGATCTGCCCGCCTCAGCCTCCCAAAGTGCTGGGAATTCAGGTGTCAGCCACCACGCCCGGCCGGCATCAGCATTTTCTAATTGCTTCCCAGAGGATTCTCAGATGCAACCACTTTAGAGAACCACTGCTCTAAGAAATGTTAGTTCACACCTGAGAAGCCCTAACTATGCGATTACAGCTGTTGGGGTTAGTTAGCATTTGAAAGACGTTAATGAGCTGCTCCCACTCCAGGGGAGGTAATCCTAAGTACTTTACCTATCTTTACCTTTGAGTAGTGTTGAAGGATTAATGGTTAATTAGCATTAGAAATGTTACTAATTATTTCTCATTGAAAGGAGAATTTGAAATATGTGGTTTGGCTAGAAAAGAATATGAGTCCTGCTGGGTCTCAGCTAAATATTTATTTAGCCTCACTATGCATCACTCACTTTTCTATGCTCTTGGAGTCTTAGGCCTATCATGAGTGCTAGGACTCTACCATATCTTGTGTTAGGCCATATGTGGAGGAGTCTGTAATAATCTTGAGTAGGCTAGAAAATTAGCTGAAATCTGCTGCTAGAATGTGGTTGTGGTTTCATTTGCTTCAAATGAACGTTTTTCTTTCTGTTTTTTAACAAAAAACATAGAGACAGGGTCTCGCTATGTTGCCCAGGCTGGTCTTGAACTCCTAGAGTCAAGTGATCCTCCTGCCTTGGCTTCCCAAAGTGCTGAGGTTACAGGCATGAGCCACAGTGCCTAGCCAACTGAATCTTTTATGCTGGACACTGTCCAAGGGCCTAAATGGACAGAAAACTGGGCTTCATGAGTTTACTGAATAGTCCCTGTGGCCCTTTGTGCCTATTGGCTGACATGAGTTCATATGTGTGGCAGAATTTGCACTGAGACATTATTTACTCTTACAAGGCACCTGCTGTAAGGTATGGAGGTGAGACCTACGGCATTTACCTACCTCTAATGTCAGGAGGCCGCTGATATCCATGAAAAGTAACCTACTGGGGGCAGCCCAACTGTGTTAGGGCAGTTTGTGTGTACTTTCTATCCAGAGCCCTGGGCAGAAGAACTTTAGTTTTGACTCTGCCTTTTGAGAGATGAAGGCAAGTGCCACAATCCTGTTGAAAATGTCTCCAGTACTTTTCTGGTTTTCAAATACAGGTGATTCCATTCCTGGCAGGGAAGGGGAAACAACAATGAATCGTATGTGCTTCTCTTTTATGACCTCCCTTTGGCATTTTTGAACATGTAACTGAGCCATGGCTTGCCGGTCAGGCTAAGTCAGCCACTTCTCTGGGCCAAAGAAAGTGAGTAACAGCTGTGACTGGGAAGGCTATTAAAAGGGATGGCAAAATGAGCAATTGTAAGTTTAACAGTGGAACAAGGAAACTTCCGAGTCAGAATCTGGCTACAGTCCTTGGAGCACTTCCTTTTAGTATAAAGGTGGGTGTTCTAAGGACAAGGAGTGTTAATAACAATAAAATTTTATGAGCTATAAAACGCTTTTGTAGAAAATAAAAATGCCCGTTTTAAAAAACAGCCTACATGTCCACAAATAAGAAAGTGGTTAAATAAGAAATGGTATGTCCATACATGGAAATTCATGCGGTTGTTTAAAATAACAAGATAGATTTGTTCGTGTTGATAGAAGACAATCTCCAAGATACTGTTACGGAGTGAAAAATAATCAAGTATCAAAATCAAATCAGCAGTGAGATCTCAACTAAGCAACATTCTCTGTTATTTTAATTTTAATTTTTAGCAATAATGTGTCTATTACTTATATAGTTAAAATATATGAAGATGATGCCTATAATCCCAGCACTTTGGGAGGCCAAGGCAGGTGAATTGCAAGGTAAAGAGATCAAGACCATCTTGGCCAACATGGTGAAACCCTGTCTCTACTAAAAATACAAAAATTAGCTGGGTGTGGTGGCACATGCCTGTAGTCCCAACTACTTGGGAGGCTGAGGCAGGAGAATCACTCGAACCAAGGAGGCAGAGGTTGTAGTGAGCTGAGATCATGACACTGCACTCCAGCCTGGTGATAGAGCAAGACTCGGTCTCAAAAAAGGAGAAGGCGGAGGAGGAGGAGGAGGGGGAGGAGAAGGAGGAGGGGGAGGGGGAGGAGGGAAGGAGAAGAATGAAAAGGTGAAGTAGAATGTCTTGAACTTCATATTTTATACAGAAAGATAAAATTGCCCTTGGAGCTGAGCTATGGCACATGGATCCGAGTGGCATCCAAGCACCTATTTCAATCCCTAGGAGACAACAGTAAGTGTGCTTTAGGCGCTACTTCTCTGCTTCTCACTTTCTCCAGCTATAAACATGGTCATAATTCTGGTCACATGTCATTTCACCCATGGAAATGCATAAATCCTGAGGGGAGTGAGAAAAGGCTCATGGAGTGACACTGGAGAAGCTCAGGGATGCTTGGATAATGTTTAGTTTGAGGCTATGATAAAGCCAAATACACAAATATCAGAATTTACACCACAGGTGAACTTTTATGGGAGGGATGCTCATGAAAAACAAATGGCAGAAAACTCTCCTCCAGGGCAGTTTTGTTCTCAATTTTGATGAATAAGAGTTTTGAAAATACAATGTTGTTTTTTGTTGTCTTGTTAGAGAGCTAAATGTGCCCAGAATCTCTTTTCAAAAAGCAGATTCTCTCATGTTGGTTTTTTTTTTTTTTTTTTTTTTTTTTTTTTTTTTTTTGCTTATTTGTTGTCATATTCTTTTTACATCAGGTTGTACCTCTCATGTTTTATAATGACAAATTGGATCAACATGGGAAAAGGTTGAACTGGTAGTGATTTCACCAGCCCCAACATCCTTGCATCCACCAGCTTGCTCCTTCAAGTTCAGCCCATTCCGTCAACTCATCTTCAAGTGTCATTCTCAGCAAAGTTTTCTTCAAGACTTCCTGGAGCCTCTTGATAGAATCAGCTAGGTTTCAGGGGATAATTAAATGACTAGGGAAAGAAAAGGGCTTGGTAAGCCTCCCGGCCCACTTTCACTTGCATTCTTTGAGGTGATTGAAACAGCAAAGAGCCTTTTAATCTGTTTTAGTTGCATCCTGAGTGATTCCAGGTGAGATTCGCCCTAGGAAATCTGTTCTGGGCTCAGTGATTGTCTGCTTCTATTGGATGGAATCAAAACGCTTCAACCTAGCATTCACCAACTAGCTGTGCATCTGTACCAAGTTACTTAGTGTTTCTGTGCCTCAGCATCCTCTCTGTAATATGAGAGCGCTAGTTTTGCTCCAACTTGGAGCAAGGGATGGACAGCTCTGGGATTTCATATCCAAGACCCTTAAACATTCCACAATCCTTCCTCAAAGATTTATCCTAATACTTCCCTCAGTTTGGGTCAGGCCTAGAACAAAAAGGTATAAGAAATGGTAGAAAAAGTGTCCATGACTACTTCTGACTTAGATAAAGAGACCAATGAAAATAGTAATGGCTCTGCTTGCTTCAGCAGGACATATACTAAAATAGAAGCTCTACAAAGAAAATTAACATGGCCCCTGTGCAAGAATGACACAAAAATTTGTGAAATATTTCATATATTAAAAATAAATAAATAATAAACAAAGAAAAAAATTAAAAAGAAAATAGTGATAGCTGTGTCCATCTCAAAGAAAAGTCCAGGAGATTTCCTTTAATTAACCCCCTTTTAGGATAGAACATTAGGAGACCAGAACACATGATACAGGAGGTACTGGGAAGGTTCCTCTTTGTTAGTGTTTTGTCTTGGGGTTGGGAGTCGGTCTCTTCTGAAAATTCCATAAACACCATCCACTGGCTGAGCATTCAAGGTGGAAAAGGAGACTGACAGCCACATTTGTTGACTGGGTGAGTTTGGGGAGAAATAGACACACAAAGGTCAAACATAACGTCCTAATTAACATTCCCCTCCATTCACAATTCCCTTCTCCCATTCTTCTCTTCTTTCTTTTACTGAAAAAAAAAAAGGTACAATTTTAAATAGCTTAAGGATAGCAAACCCAGTTTCTCCTGAAACTATAAAAAGACCCCAGTGTTTTAACATAATTTACATCTCAGAGATTAGAAACCAGGAATAGAGACCTTTTTCAACCCTTCCTGAAGCACAGTGCATCATCCCTCTGGCCATGTGTCTCAAATCTTGATGCATCAGAATCATCTGGGTGCTTTGAAATTCAAGATGATGCGTGGGAGTTACCATAAATCAACCCAGAATCCCCTGGAGTGGGGCCCAGGGATCTGTATTTCTGACAAGCTCCCACAGGTGATTCCTTTCCCCATAGCATTTGAGACCTTCAGCTTAATGGCATAATCAGAGTCCTGCCATTGCTATACATATATACATATACATATATATATATATATATATACACACACACATATATATATAGTATTTTTAGTAGAGATAGGGTTTTGTCATGTTGCCCAGGCTAGTCTTGAACTCTTAAGCTCAAACAATCTGCCTGTCTCTGCCTCCCAAAGTTGGGATTACAGGCGTGAGCCCCTGTGCCCAGTCAATAGCTGATCTCATATACTCTATTGACCACTCTGATCCATTTTGAAGAAAAAATGCTCCAGTTATTATGCTGTTTTAGAACACGGTAAGTATGTCATGTGCTAATTATGGCCAGTGACATCATAAAATAAAAGTGCATTACCGAATGCTTTCAATTTCTTATAATGATGGTAAGGTGGCATGTCATGGGGCCTTTTTAGCCCTAGACATCACTCCAAAGAATTCCAAACAGATATAGCCAAGTGCCCTTAGAGCCCAGATCTCTTCCCCTCAGGCTGTTTACCCAGGGAATAGGATGTCCTGAGGCAAGCTTCCCCCTAGTGAAGTGTTGATAAGTCTGCTTATCAGAAAGACATTACTGGGGGTGTGATATGTAGGGCATCTACATTTTCATGATAGGTAGTCATATGAAAGCTGACAAAGAAAAAAAAAAGGGCAGTGATGTGGTGCAATGTCAACAGACAGCTGTCCCCTGCCTCTTGACAAATAGAATGACTTGCATTGCTGAGCCGTGTGATCACCACCAAAGGAATGGCCCTCTCATATTTCCTCCTGATTCACATATTCAGTGGGGTTAGCTTGTCCTCCCCTCCCTCTTCAGCTTCCCGGACACTAAGTCTGGAATGAAAATTCACCTGCCTCTGAGTTGGCGGGGGTGTTACTTGGGTTCCCAGGTTGGAAGATTATCTCACCCGGCCCCAGCTATATAAGCTGACTGGTGTGGAGGGGCCCAGTAGGGCCAACTCCAGGGATTCCCTCCAGGAGAGAAAAACATACAAGACGTCTTCAGCCAACATGATGGTACTGAAAGTAGAGGAACTGGTATGTAAGATGCATTAATTTTACAAAATGAAAACTGGTTCATCTTGGTTTTTATTTGAAAATTGAAATGCCCTTTGCTTTCAGGCATAATGCAAGGAAACTGAAAATGTCATATGTGAAAAAGGTTGATGTGAGGAAACAAGTGAAATTGGAAAAAAAAAAAAAATGGAGCTACCAGTAGTGAATTCTCTGCATATTTTCTGTTTAAAATCTCCTTTGGTTTTATTATCACAGTGTGGAATCACATGTAGTTATCAAAATGTCTTAGGGAAGAAATTTTATTGCAAGAATGTAAGTCTGGAAAGTTTACAGTCAAGGTGAAGAGTCATCCAAAGTACCTGAAGTTGAGTTTTAAATAAATAGAGAAGGTTTGTGATTTTTCTAAAAGAAATGTGATGAAGCAGGTTTAAAGTAGATTTACATATGTCAACCTAACCCAGGTTTTGATTTAACCAAGGAAGTAAGACAAGCACCTGAAGGTAATTCTGGGACATTTGTAGCAGCGTGTGTCGCAGCCTGAGGTCTGAGAGTGCACTGTGCGAAGGTGGCTGCCCCCAGGGGAGAAGGACCAAGAGCCTTCTGTAGCATTATCTGTGAAGAATGAGCTGGGACAAGGCTGCTGCTTCTGACGCTGCCATCTTCTTCCCTCATAGGTCACTGGGAAGAAGAATGGCAATGGGGAGGCAGGGGAATTCCTTCCTGAGGATTTCAGAGATGGAGAGTATGAAGCTGCCGTTACTTTAGAAAAGCAGGAGGATCTGAAGACACTTCCAGCCCATCCAGTGACCCTAGGAGAGCAACAGTGGAAAAGCGAGAAACAACGAGAGGCAGAGGTGAGAGTGCCTGCGGAATGCACTAGTAGGATGTTGGGGCTGGGGTAGGGAATGGAAATGCCAGGGAAGGAGAAGAGAGAAACAAACCCAATCATGAAGATGTTTCTTTACCAGATGCTAGCCCATAAAGAGGCAGCTTGTATGGAACAGATTTTGGGAAACAATTCTTTTACAAGACTATGACCTCTGAATTCTGAAGCAATGGTTAAATGTGCTGTGACTGTGTTTTGATTGAAAGATACACATGTCCAGTGAATTTCTGAGGTTATACACCATGTAGTTAATCCCAAGCAAGGGAGATCTCTCTTTCTCAATAACATGGTTTGTGGTCCGTGGATCATTGTTTAACTGTGTCTGCTGTCTGTGATGACACAATCTGTGTTTCTCAGTTAATTTTCCTTAATTACTAGCACACATAAAATATGCTTTAGTTAGCTGTGGTCTGTGAACAGTCTGTTTTAGAGGCCCTGCTTAGTGAAAGAGAATGACATTGATATTTCAGAGCTTGACATTTATTCTTAGATTCTCTTTTTATCATGGTCAAAAATTAAACAAGGTTTTGAGCATAATTTTTAAAATCCTTCAAAAATCTAGGGCTTGTTTATGGCATTAATTACAAAGTCATCACTTAGAGACCAGACCATATCCCCAGTTACTCAAGGGCTGATTCTACAAGCAACAAGTAAAGATGATAGCAATTAGCTGAAAATTAGACTCCCAGATAAATATCTGAATAAGAAATCCCTAAAATGAAGTCAAAGATTTATATAATTTTAAAAAATGGCTTTGCTTAAACTGTTCACGTGTTTATCTCAGACAATGCAGATTTAGTTTAGACAACATAAGAATGCTTGTCAGAACTCACCATATTTTTGAAATATGAATTTCTTTTTTAGCTCAGAAAGAAAAAACTAGAACAAAGATCAAAGCTTGAAAATTTAGAAGACCTTGAAATAATCATCCAACTGAAGAAAAGGAAAAAATACAGGAAAACTAAAGTTCCAGTTGCAAAGGAACCAGAACCTGAAATCATTGTAAGGGCTCTTTTGGTTTGTAATACAAGCCCAGTGTTGTGCTACAGGGGAGCAAATACCTGTGGAGGGTTAGATTGAAAGTTGGCAAGCTCACGGTAACTCTCATGCTATATGTGTGTATATATACATTTTATTTTTTTATTTTTTTAATTTTTGCTTTAGACAGAACCTGTGGATGTGCCTACATTTCTGAAGGCTGCTCTGGAGAATAAACTGCCAGTAGTAGAAAAATTCCTGTCAGACAAGAACAACCCAGATGTTTGTGATGAGGTAAGACTCATACAAAGCACTGCAAAATCCAGCTCATTGATTTCATGTTTCTTATGCTTTACTGCAGCCTTGATGGTATAGTTCCAAACTCCTTCCACCTGAAACAGTTTCCCCAGCTGATACTGCGTATGCCAGGAGCCTAATAGGAGAGTTCAATGGTCCAAAAAATAAATAGATATTGGATCAGTGCTACGGATTGCATTGCTTTGTTGTTGTTGTTTTGCACTCATATACATCTGGCTGATTTTTCAGTTTTTCTTTAACTTTTAGATCCTTATGATAAGACTTATAATATGGGCCAAAAAGTCCCCTTTAGAGATTTATGATTGGCATCCTCTTTGATTGAAACCAAACGTATCAACACTAGACCAGAAATCTGGAGATTAGAATTCAGTGGCGGGTCAGCTGTACCACTACTTAGCTATTTGGCTTTAAGCAGCAATTTGCATCCTCTGGGCACTGGTTTTCTTATCTGTAAACATAGGGCATTGGAGTGAAATAATGCCTACTGCTGTTCCAGCTCTAATCCTCCATTAGCCCATTCATATAAAGCCAATTTATCAGAAATCACTAATCCTTTTGTATTCTTTCCCCCATGAAGTGAAACTGGGGATCACTTCTGAAGTTGAACTAAAAGCGTGTCTCCCATTCTCCTAAAAATGAATTGAAACTTTTTGATAGTCAGTCTAGCTACAGGCCCAGATGCAAGAAAACTGTCTGATCTGCATGGTAAATGCTGTATGAACAAGGGAAGTGCAAGATACAAGAAAGGGAGATGTCAGCATTTAGGTAATTTTGAGCCTTTAAGTTCACATTCCTCAACGTAGGCCTTTGAGCCCTTAGAAATGTATGTTGCAGGAGGCTCAAATGTTAGTTGCAGGATAATTGCTCTGATTCTGCAATTTTAGTTAACTTTGACATTTCTAATTCATAAAGAAGCACTTGAGTTTCTCTCAGTTACGTCAACAGAATCTTCAGCTTCATAGCTCTTAAAAGGGTTTATGCACATTTTAAATTTATTGCTATCTCTTTTTTTAAATCTGTGTTCTGATAGTATAAACGGACAGCTCTTCATAGAGCATGCTTGGAAG